TGGCTGGCACCTTTCCAGTTCTGCAGAAACCATAAAACTAAAACAACAGCAAAGAGACAGTTGGGGCCTCACTGAATCAGACCCATGTGTCACCTGGCTGCGGGCACACCCACTGAGCCCCATCTCTGCTCTACATCTGCTACAGAGCAAGAACATTTTTTCATCTGACATTTAATCAAAACTAATTAATTTTTTCTCATGTAAGTGGCAGGTGATGGGGGATTGCTCCTTTGTTTCCCATAAACCCCAAGCAAGGAAACACCAACCCACTTGGTTTGTTTGGGATGAGCAGGTTCAGGTGGGTGAAACAGCTCAAGTCCAGGGCTCCTCTAAGGACCCAGATTGGTGCAAAGTCAAGGAGTGTTTTTTGTTTTTTTAAGTAGATAGGACTTGGTCATATTTATAATCGAGGGTGGGATATAGGGTGAAATGACCAGTTGGCAGAAGAAATCAGAACACCAGAAGGGAAGACTCATGGGGCAGGTGCCTGGGGCAGAGGAGGCAGGGAGGAGAGCGGGTGGTCACCTGAGACTGGAGGGGGGCGACACGGTTTGGGTCTGGATCATGGTGACGGCTACTAGGTACTGGACGCTTGCTTTGTGTCTAACACTGTGCTCAGCACTGACAGCCATTAGTGTTCCATTCAACTGTTCTACAGACTAAGAGACTGGGGCTTAGAGAGGTCAAGCACCTTGCTTAAGATCATATGATTAGTAAGTGGTTGTCCAACGTTAGAAGCTGAGTGACCTACACTTGGGCTGGTTCTCTTAGCTATAGCATGACACAGTATGTGGCCCTACAGGTAAGGAGGGTGGGGCCTGAAATCAACAGAGACCACACCTCTTGGCTTAATTGTCTCCACAGAGCAGGAAGCAAAGCAATCTGCCCAGAGGCAGGAGACTAGGAATGAAAGGGAGGCCTGAAAACAGTGGTAAAGGTTGTGAATCAGGTGGGGGATGATGCTAACCAAGAACAAGCAAGAGTATGCAGAGAGGGTCTGGATGAAACAGGACACCTGCTTATCTGAATGATTATCTGCAGGAGTGTGATTTTTTCCCCAGTAACAGAGTCATGTGGCCTCTAACCAGAGGTGGCAGATTGCAGCATCCTTCTAGTATGAGGGGAGACGTCTGGGGTCAGTTTTCTGTGAGCTGGTGTCTAGGGTGGGCAGGAAGACAGGAGGGGCTGGTGAGATGGCAGAAGCGGAGTATTACAGGGTGGGAAGGATTGGAGTCTGTGGTGGGGGCGTGTGTATCAGTTGGGGGCTTTGGGCTAAAGTGTGAACTCCAAGGGCATGGAATGGTAAGAATATTTACTGCAGCATAGCTGTGAGTGCCCAGCTAAGGAGGGCTTCAGGCTGGCTGAGAAGACATTCAGTAATGTCTTTAAGGACCATTTCTATACACTGGCACTCTTGGTGCTGATTTCATCCTCCTGCTGGTAGCAAAGTGGCCACAGTTTCCAGGAGTTAAACATTGGCAGAGTTGGTTTCTGATGACTTGCTCTTTAGAGCAAGGGACTTTCTCCCATCAGGCTCCTCCTGCTCACTGGCCAGCAGTGTCACAGCAGAGAGTTCCCTGTAGTGAGATACTGAAGCTCAAGATAGTTAAGGTGAAGTTCAAAACAAGCAAGATCCAGGCCATATGTCTGGAGGGGACTGGGTGGCTGCAGTCGAGTGACGACAAGGGTACCTGAAGTTAGGAAGGTCTCGGAACCAGATGCCTAGGTTTCTAGATGGATCGTCCACATGTATGTCGAAATCCCCAAGAATTAAGTCAGGAGTTGTGAGGTTGGGGCAGTGGGGCAGAAAGAGGGACCCTATGGGCTAGGCTGCTGGGTCCTCAGCAAAGGACGGCGATGATGGAGAAGCTGGTGGGGATGGGACAAGGGAGTGGGAGGGTGCGCAGTCCTTCTCCTCCCCTTAAACTCGGCTGATCATAAGATCTACATGATGCTTGTTTGTCCCAAGTGAGGGCAGCAGCTCCCACACCGGCCTCCTAGCCCCACTGCCGCTCCCTCTCCTTCTGCTGTTGCTAACCCTGCCCGTATTTGAGTCACCGAGGAGCTACCAAGCTCTGGATGCCAAGCCGGGGGTAGTCCAGTTGGACAACAGCCTCTAGGGGTGGGTTCTGGGTGACAGCATTTGTCAAAGCTCCTCAGCTTGTTCCTGTTGGCAGCCAAGGTCAGGCCCTCCAACCCATGTTTCCACACTGTCGTCTGTTACCTTCTCCAGGGCGGCTGCAGCAGGTCCCTCCCACTGGCTCCAGGGAGGGGATTTGGTAAGCCCCTACCAGTTCTGGGCGCTGGGACTAGAAAGATGCAAAGTACAGGACTCCCCTTCCCCAGAAGTCTGCCGGGGAACTTCAGCACTCGCACTGCTGGGACACACACCAACAGGCACTACCAGGCGGTAGCCACAGTGTCAGGGTGACTCGTACCACAGATCTGGGGTGGCATTGTGGGGTGCCTTCATTGCCATCTCACTTCAGCCCCCAGAGCTTGCTTGTATTTTGGATTGTTTTGCCTCAGAGACCTCAAACTAAAATCTGTCAAAACTCCATTGTCTTGAGATAAATTCTAAATTTCTCAGAATGAAATATAAGGCCCTTCATAATCTGGCTCCTTGTTGACTTTCTTGCCATGCACTCTGGGTCCCCACAGTCCGGCCACATAGGTACCTTACAGCCCCCTAAGAGTACTGTACCCGTCATGGTTCTGGGGTTTTGCATTCTCGGCTCTCCTCATCTGCCAACTGCTCCCAGGACAAGCATGGGGGAGTGCATGCCAGCTGGAAAAACATATGAGCTGGCCGTCGGGGACCTTGCCCAATCAGGCTGGTGGCCAGGGGCAACGAGGACCGAGGACGAGGGTCTCCATTAGCATGAGGGTTCCTGGGGAGAGCAGGTTACACTGCACATGCCTGCTTACACCCCTGAGATGCTGCACAGTGGGGCTAAGATGGGGCCGAGAGTCTCCGGGTGATGTGGCCGCCCAGCTCCTGCACCAGATTCCATGCAACAGAGCCAGTGAAAGGGGGCTTTGATGGAAAAAAGGAAATCGCAGTAAAGGACTTCAGGCAGGGATGTGACTTTCATTTATTGTTCAACCATTACTGATTTATTATGTACGCACTATATTTCTGGCTCTAGAAATACCAATGATAACCTAGTTCCTGATCTCAAAAGGTGGTTAGCCTTGCCTAACGGATGATCATAACAAACCACTGCAAGTGTCAGAGGGAGGTGGCATTGGTTGTGATGTAATCACAAGGAGGTTGCTGTCCAGGAGTGATGACAATGAGCTGGGCTTGGCCGGCCAAGAGCTGCAGGTGTGTATAAAGTAGATCTGAAGGTGGGGGAGAGAGGAAAGCAGCACAGGAGATGGTGACACTGAGCTGTCATCACCCAGGGACTGAGGGTGGCCCTGGCTTGATTCTGGCTCTCAGGCCACAGTTCTGTCATTGAATAGTGTGCCTCTGCACAAGGCACTACCTGGTCAGGGCTTAGTGTCCCCACCTGGTGAGAAGGGCATGCCCAGTGGCTGATCCCTTGGACATGGAACTAGTTACCCCTCTGTCTCACCTACACCATCTTCTCGCATCCTCTAGCCCAGTTTCTTCAGCCTCAGGCTCAGCATGTATTTGTGGAAAATGCTGATTATAAATGATGACACTTTTTAAAAAGAAAAGCAACAGCAGGCTAGCTCAGTGCTTAGCACAGATGAGGCGTTCCACCCAGGCCTGGTTGTAATTTCAAGTCACTGCAGCAAGATTGTGAGGGGCAATCTTTCAAACGTGGGTTTTTGTCTGGGCTCTATCCCTTCAGTGTATGGTCCCCGAGAGTTCTTCCTGGAACCCCAGTTTGCTCATTTATTAAACTGGGAGAGTAATACCAACTTTGGAAGATTACTGTGAGGTTAAAGCCCTGGGTGGTAAAAGTCAATGTGAGTACATGGTGGAGACAGGATCCTAAGCCAGGTCTTCTGGCTAGTTCTGTGTACTCTTTCCACGTCACTGACTCATCACACAGAAGGGCTTGGGACACCCACTCTGTGCCAGGCTCTGTGTTAGGTGCTGGGATTCAGGTGAGTTAGATAAGGCCCTGCTTCCTACCACATCACATTCAGCAGAGGGACAGCCTCTTCTCAAAACAAGCATCTTCTTTGCACTTGAGCTTCATTTGTGAGAGTGCAGAGTAAATACAAACTTTAAATGAAAAAAAAAATTGGTATTTCTCTGGTGCAAAAGGGAAAGAGCCTCTCCGTTCCATTTCCTTGGAGCATTTACTCTAGAAAACTTGTAATTGTAAATTCTTTCTTTTTGAGATGTATGTACCTGTGTTTAAAAGCTAAGTAGGACTTTTGCCAATTTTACAACCCATGAATGTTTTTTCTCAAGGACTTGGGAGCCATTTCTTTGAAATAGTAACCTAACTTCCAGGGAGCAACCGGCTTAAAGTTGCAAACCTATCTATCTCCTATGGTAAGGACATGAGAAATTATTTCTCCTTTGGATAAAGACAATTAGCAAATACGAATGGCCATTCCACTTGGCAGGTGAATTTAGGATGAACTCTGTTTGAAAAATGGTCTTGTCAAGCCCTCTCACTTGAGAACGGGGATGGAGAGTTTGCACCTGCCTAGCTATATGAAAGGTGAGCTTTCTTGCTGTCTTTGCTTTGGAGGACTGGGTGACGCGCGTCACATTCAATCACAGAAATTGTTTTGTTTCTCTTCTATCCTTTGGAGAGTTTTGTGGGCTGGCAGAAAACTTTGTTTTTCTTTATACTTCCCAATTGTAGGAGACCTGGCTGGAAAGGGCTGTGGGAGAATTTGGACAACCTAACGATGAGACAGCCCTTACTTCCACTCCGCATCCGCAGCGCGTACTGCTCGCGCACCTACCTGCTGCAGCACGGACGCCCTGTGCATAGGGACAGCTGCGGCCCGCATCCCTACTTGCAGCAGCCTCTGTCACGTGACGAAAAGGGGCGGGACATTCGCCCCGCCCACGCCGCGCCCAGAGCGGGGCCCCGCGGAGCGCAGAGCTTGGAGCCCGGAGCCCGGAGCTGCGATGAAGGTCTGGAGCTCGGAGCACGTGTTCGGGTGAGGTCAAGCTGCCGGCTACGGGGTCCGGCCGCGCGCCTGCCCCTGCCGCGAACCGCTGGGGGCGGCCGCGAAAGGCCGAGCGAGACCCGGCCTCGCAGAGGCAGGCCAGACCGGCGCCGGACCGCGGCCTCTGCATCCCCATCGGAGGGCAGGTTCTGACGGTCCTGCGGCGAGCGTAGGCGGGCAGCCCGCGCAGCTGGGCCGCCCTGGAGGCGCCGCCTGGGCGCGGCCAGTGAGGGAGGCAGAGTGGGGGCGAGAGTGGGGGCGGGGGCGGCCTTCCCTTTGGGCCACGGAGGCCGATCCGTGGCGCGGATCTCAGCGAGCCCCACAGGCTCGGACGGCGGGGCCGGGTGGCGCCCCTGGTGTGCACAGAAGCGACCCAGCACAGTGAGAGCGCCCCCTCAGCCCACCCAGGAGCAGGCCTGCCCTCGCCGGCACACTCTTCTTATTCGGGGCGGGGGGCGCGGGATCGCAAAAGCCCTCAAGAGCTGGCCCGGTCTTTTCCTGAAATGATGCAGTGCAGCTGATCACAAAATTAGGCATATTTTATGAGGGATGGGTCCATACAGGGCCCATCGATCAGGCAGAAGCCACATGTGGATAAGACATGCGGGAGTGGGTCTTGGGCCTGAATGCCCTTGTGGACCTGGAAGGCGTCCAAGCCAGCATGGAAAACTGTGCCCTGTTTAAACGGACACTTGTGACCCAAGTGGTATATTCTCTTAAATCCCTTGTTTTGTGACATTCTGAATCATCCTTTAATATTTTTTGAAGGAACAAAGATTTTAAAATTCTGTGACGCCGTTTAGAGAAGCATTTCATTTTTGGAAAAAAAATGCATGAAATGGAATTGTCATGCTTTCACCTTTTTGTGTAAAATTGTAATAAAAACTTACCAAGTATTTTAAGATCTCTGAAATTATTTTAAATGCAATCTTTAGACTTGATGGGCTCCACTTCTAGTGTTAATTTTTGTGCAGAGTGAAAAGTCTTTCTCAGCTGGGGTTCCTTGAGAGACCTGGTGAAGCCCCAGTGGGAATGATGCCAGAGATTCTGTTCTCAGTTCTCCCAAGGATGGGACATAGCAAGCACCGCATAGAGGGACGTTAAGTTATTGCACACCACAGACGCCAAGGCCATGGCGCTCCGTTTTCTAGTGGAACAGTTAAGGACTGCCCTAGAAGTGCACGAAATGTTGGTTGGCTCGCAGAAGTGAATTGTTAGCTGGAAAAGTCACTATTGATAAAATTCACCCGTTTAAAGTGTACAGTAGATTCTTAGTAAATCTACTGGGCTGTACAAGTGTCACCAGAGCCCAACTTTAGAACATTTCCATCACCCTACAAAGACCCTGTGTGCCTATTTGTGGTCTCCCTTCACAGCTCCAGAACATTGCTCATCTGCTTTCTCGTCCTATGGATTTGCCCTTTCTGGACATTCCATATGAATGTAATCATACAATATGTGGTCTTTGTGTCTAGCTTCTCTCACTTAGCATAATGTGTTTGAGGTTAATTCATGTGGTACCTGTATCAGTACTTCACTCCTTACCTCATTCATTTTGTGTCTCTGGCATCCTGCCAGTGCCTGGCACATAGTGGGTGCTCAGTGAGGGGCTGAGGAGTCTCATGGAAACCAGATGCCCTTCCAAAGTGAGGGTGGTTATCCGCCAAAGGAATTCTAGTCAACTTCCAAGCTGCTGGGGACTAGGGGCTGATACCCTGCCATTGTTTTTGTTTTTTCTTTCTAGTGAACTTACTTTATTGTAATTATACAGTGTATAATACACATAACATAAAAAATAGGTGTTACTTGACTCTTATGTTATTGGTAAGGTTTCCAGTCAACAGTAGGCTATTAATAAAGTTTTTGGGAGTCTAAAGTTATACATAGATTCTGACTGTGTGAGGGGTTGGTGCCCCTGACCCCTGCGTTGCTCAAGGGTCAGCGTATTTTGTAGCATAAAACTTCGAATGGTTGCAAATCCTCCACAGCCCAGCCCCTGACCACCTCTTTTTCCACCTTTACTCATCTTCAGACACACTGGCCTCCTTGTTAGTCTTGGACATGCAAAGCTATTCCTGCCTGGGTTACACATCTTTAGACGGTTGGCTCCCTCTCATCATCCTATTTTTTTTATTAAGGTATTATTGATATACACTTATGAAGGTTTCATATGAAAAACAATGTGGTTACTACATTCACACATATTATCTATCGAGTACTCCTGCCCCACACCTCATTGCAGTCACTGCCCATCAGTGTAGTAAGATGCCACAGAGTCACTATTCGCCTTCTCTGAGCTACACTGTCTTCCCCATGATCCCCCACACCATGTGTGCCAGTCATAATACCCTTCAATCCCCTTCTCCCTCCCTCCACACCCACCCTCCCCTTTGGTAACCGGTAGTCCCTTCTTGGAGTCTGTGAGTCTGCTGCTGTTTTGTTCCTTCAGTTTTGCTTCGTTGTTATACTCCACAAATGAGGGAAATCATTTGGCATTTGTCTTTCACCGCCTGGCTTATTTCACTGAGCATGATATCCTCCAGTTCCATCCATGTTGTTGCAAATGGTAGGATTTGTTTCTTATGCCCTGCCATTGGTTTTTGAACTTAAAAGCAAAGGGCCTTAAGGAAATTGACAAATGTGGAATGCAGCTGGCTGAGGATGATGTAAGCCCTAAGGTGGACAAGTTGAGGAGGATGACATGGTACTGGGTGGAGGCATAGCATCCACAGGACAGCACAAAATTGGAAACCAGACTTTCTGGCTGGGCTTTTTGTAGAGCTTTTCCCTTGCATAGGCCATAGAAGGCCCTCAATTTTTTTTTCTTTTATAATTATACACCTTTCTTTTTCTTTATATATATATATATATATATATATATATATATACTATACTATTTTAACCCCATTCCTTCCATGCTCTGATTCTGAAGTTTAATATAGACCCAGATTTCTCAGCCTCACACAATTGCCACAACTCTCTGTTGTGCAGGGCTGTCCAAAGCCTTGCAGGATGTCTGGCAGCATCCCTAGCCTCTAACCACT